TGGATTAATTCACACCATTTTCGAAGAACAAGCTCATATTCCATACAAGGATCTGGGGAATCATCAGTACAATGGATAAATGGTTGAGTGAAGTCACGAGTGATGAAATCAGAACTCTTGAACAGTAGAAAGATGTCGCTGAGGGTGTTACATTTCAGAGAACTATTCATTGCTATCCAGTATGCATCCCTTGGGGCACTCCAGTTAAGCTTAGGAAATACACTGCCCCCAAGGGAATTGATAGCTTCTTTGACTGTCGTGGTGAACTCAGGAAATTCCGGTGCCGTTAGTGTGGCTGTGTTCTCATCATCTGACCACTGTATTTCTTCTGCCTCATCATCACTGTCTGGCTGAGAACATGTTGGAGGATCTTCCCTTCCTGAAACCACCAGAGTTCCATCATCAAGTAAATAATCCTTCACATTCTGAGGAAGTGGAAGAATGACACTCTTGATGGTGATATTTCGGAAGAGTGGATACCACGCGGAGAACTCCACACTTTTTAAAAATATGTATATTTTTACTGATTTCAGAGAGGAAGAGAGAAGGAGAGAGAGATTCAGACATCAATGATGAGAGAGAATCATTGATCGGCTGCCTCCTGAACTCCCCCTACTGGGGATTGTGCCGGCAACCTGGGCATGTGCCCTTGACCGGAATTGAACCCGGGACACTTCAGTCCGTAGGCCGATGCTCTATTCACTGAGCCAAACCGGCTAGGGCCACACACACTTTTTAAAAAGACATTGTAACAGTTTACGTCTCAGTCTTTCAGTGCCACATCTCTTAAACATTTGGTGAGATTACCAGTTTCATTGGTTATAAGGTTTCTCCCTTATAAAATTGATAGCATATGGGCAGTCCTATCAACATGTAAATATATATAAAGCCTTTGTCCCAACAATTGCTTCTGTAGGAATTAATTCTACAGTCACATGTGCAAAATGGGGATAGGGCCTCCATTGGATGAAAAAAATGGGAGATTAGAAATAAACCAAGTGTACCCCAGGAGGAATGGGTTAAATCAATTATGATAGCCTTATATACCAATAAGTATCCATTTCCAAGGTATATTGACTCAAAACAGTGTAGATATGTGGACTGCCTCTAGTACTAGTATTGCCCTGGGGAGGGGACCTAATGGCCTGGAGCAGAGGAGAGAGAGGCTGTCACCCTTCTATATATTTTAAATCTTGTACTATGTATGTGTACTAACCAAGTTGAAAAGTTAAAAAAATGTAAAAATAGCTACTCTATCATCTTTATGTTGTTGTCATATTTTAGTTCTGACGCCTCCCCTGACCACCAGCCCCTTCCCTCTGAATCGACTCTCCACTGGGATGCCTCAAGAGCATATCACACTGATGGTACCACAATAGGACTCCCACTGCCTTCTCTGACCCTGTTCCTCTCAAGTCCCCATCTGCCCAGCTGGCTGCATCATGACCCCAGTCAAGGGCCTGATTCTTCCTGTGCTCTGCTAGATCCGTTCTGCCAGCATGTTCTCTCCAGTCCTCTCCAGGGTAGTTTCAACTATAGCTCTCCAGCCATGTGGCCCTTGCCAGGTCTGGTGGAACCTTTCCACCTCTCCTCTAGCCCTTCCACTCTGGCCAACAGCACCTGAGCTTGAAGAGTCAGTCAGCTCATGCCATTTTCCTGCATAATATTCCCTGACAGCATCTCATTATGCTTTGATTTAAATCTAGACTCTACCCTGCCCTGGGGGTAGCAGGACCTGGCCCGTGTCTTACCTCCAGCTCACTTCCTCTTTGCCCTGGCTGCCTGTGTGCCAAGCTTGTCCTTGCCCTGTACCCCGGTTGGGGAGATGCTGCCTCGTCTCATTTCAGTTCCTCAGAGTGGGCCTTTCTTGCCCCCATTGTTCTCCACCTGCTCTACTCTCCCAGTCATGCTCTCCTCAATCATATGTCCTGTTGAGTTCCTTCCCAGCATTCCCACAATCTGAAATACCTTTTTTTGTTGTTGTCATTCTTCCTAGCATTAAACTTTTTGTATGTAGGAATCTTGCCACAGTACTTAACTGTTAGTTCTCTTTTGCCCTGGGAAGGGTACCTGGCATTTAGTAGGTGCTCAGTAAGTATATACTGAATGGGATGACTCCCATTCATTCATTCTTTCATAACATGCTCTGGGCTGCTGCTGTGGTTCAGGAAGTAGACTTAGTGGATGCAGCAGAAAGCAAGCCAGTCATGGTCTCTGCCCCCAGGAGGCTCATGTGTAACTCCCTAGGGCTCACGAACGGGGACACAGGGTAGTTTTTAGGATGGTTGCTCACACTTGGTCAGGAACGTGTGGATGCCTTTTGTGGGATGACTCTGCTCAGACTGAGCCAGTGCCCTGTCGCACAGTGGTGCTGGGTCAGCCGCTCCTTGGCCCCGCTGCTCATGCTCTGCAGCCTGGGCTGGTGGCCCAATTAGTGTAACTCCACTGTCTCCTGTCTTCACTTTGCAGAGGAATGTTTGCTGGGGGATTGAAGGAAATGGAACAGGAAGAGGTCCTAATCCACGGTGTGTCCTACAATGCCATGTGCCAAATCCTGCACTTCATATACACTTCCGAGCTGGAGCTCAGCCTGAGCAATGTCCAGGAGACGCTGGTTGCCGCCTGCCAGCTTCAGGTGAGGCTCACCTCATTGGAGCAAGGTGTGGTTTCCCTGGCTGCCTGCCAGGCACAGGCATGAGGGTGGGTCAGGCAGGTGAGCACACGAGGCAGTAAGGTGGAGTGGAGTGGGGTGGGAGCCCCGGGTAGTGCTTGGCAACCAGCCTGCCTCAGGCCCTTTCTGCCCATCCTCCTGCGCTCCCCCTCGTGGGGACTGAGCCCAACCCTGGCATGTGCTCTTGACCAGAATCGAACCTGGGACCCTTTAGTCCTCAGGTCATTGCTCTATCCACTGAGCAAAATTAGCTAGGGCTCCCCAGCTTTTTTTATTCAGAGATCTCTTCTGTTCCCACATCCTGGTCATTGTTGCTTTGGGAACTCTCATCCAGTTCTTACAACACCTAAGTCACATATTCAGCTCTCTCCCCAGGGACTCACTGTCTCGTTGATCTGACACTGCTTTCCCCTTTGTTATTGAACTTTAAATACTTATTTTCCTACAGAATTAAAAAAAAGTCTTCTGAGGCTTTGACAGTGTAATACACATTTTAGAAAACTACATTGACTCTTGGCAATATTGGTGCATGTACATAGGCTGGGCCTGCACATGCCTTTGCTCTTATGAAGAGCTGTCCATCAGGCAGCCTGATTGGGCTTGAGAGACATCTCTTCCCATATTTCTTGAAAGTGAAGTGAAATGCTACACTAAATTCATTAACCTCAGCTTTTAAAAAATATTTTTAAATTGATTGCAGAGAGGAAGGGAGAGTTAGAGAAAGATAGAAATGTCAATGATGAGAGAGAGTCAATAATGAGAGAGAATTGTTGATCAGCTGCCTCCTGCACACCCACATTGGGCATGTGCCCTGACCAGGAATCGAACCATGACCTCCTGGTTCATAGGTCGATACTCAACCACTGAACCACTCTGACCCACTAATCATCACCTTTTTTCAGGTCAGAGCATATTTGGGGCAGTCAGAAAAAACTCAAGTCATAGGAAAACCAGCCTGCTCAGGGCATCTGGAGGCCCTACCCTGAGCTCCTTGTGCCATTATCCTCAGAGCGGCAGGTGGCAGAAGGATTTCCTCACCTGTTTGTTTGTGTTTTTTTTTTATTTTATTATTTCAGAGCGGAAGGGAGAGGGAGAGAGATAGAAACATCAACGATGAGAGAGAGTCATTGATCAGCTGCCTCCTGCGCTCCCCCTCCTGGGGATTGAGCCTAACCCTGGCATGTGCTCTTGACCAGAATCGAACCTGGGACCCTTTAGTCCTCAGGTCATTGCTCTATCCACTGAGCAAAATTAGCTAGGGCTCCCCAGCTTTTTTTATTCAGAGATCTCTTCTGTTCCCACATCCTGGTCAGTGTTGCTTTGGGAACTCTCATCCAGTTCTTACAACACCTAAGTCACATATTCAGCTCTCTCCCCAGGGACTCACTGTCAGCGTTGTCTCCTCCTCACTGCATACTCCTCTTGCCCCGTCCCAGTCTGTGTCCCATGACCATTCTGCCAGAGCTTCCATGGCTCCTTGAGCTCTTCCATCTTCATTCCCTGTGTCCATGTTTGGACAAGTCATCCTTGTAAATATTACCTGTAGCTAGCTATCTCTGTTCTCTGTTTCCACGTCCTCACCTTTGTCCTGGCCTTCCCCTCTCCATTTGTACCTTCCAGCTGGTCCCTGCCTTCTCTTTGAATCCCTCATGCAGACCAATACCAAACCATCTTCCAAAATGCCTCTTTTCCTCTCCCACCCATCAGCTCAGAGATCTGCCGTTTCCCTAGACCACTATGACAGGTTTGGCCAGTACTCCTTGATACCTCTGGGCCATTCTGGGGATGGTAAGGGAGAGGGAGCCCCCACTTCATCTTGAGCAGCCCAGCTTTGTTTTGTTTTATTTTTAATGTATTGGGCTTCTATACAATGATGTTTTTTGTTGTTGTCGTTGTTTTTAACTTTTTAAAAATATATTTTTATTGATTTCAGAGAGGAAGGGAGAAGGAGAGAGAGATAGAAACATCAGTGGTGAGAAAGAATCATTGATCGGCCACCTCCTGCATGACCCTTACTGGGGACTGAGTCTGCAACCCGGGCATGTGCCCTTGACCAGAATTGAACCCAGGACCCTTCAGTCCACAGGCCAATGCCCTATCTACTAAGCCAAGCTGGCTAGGGCTTAATATATTTTTATTGGTTTCAGAGAGGAAGGGAGACGGGGAGAGAGATAGAAACATCAATGATGAGAGAGAATCATTGATCGGGTGTCTCCTGCATGCCCCCTACTGGGGATTGAGCCCGCAACCCAGGCATGTGCCCTTGACTGGGATTCAACCCAGGACCCTTCAGTCTTCAGGCCGATGCTCTAGCCACTGAGCCAAGTCAGGTAGGGCTGTGCAATAATGTTTTTAAAGCAAGTTATACTTGGCATAACAGTTCCAAGTCCATAGGCCCATCAGATCATGTTTGTTCATGTAGCCACCAGCTGTTAGTGACTTGTCCCCACCCCCCACATGCTGTGCCCTGTGTCTGAATTCCAGCAAGACCACCGCCACTGAGTCACCCCTGGCAAATGAGTTTCCTCCTCTGAGCCCCTTGTGGGGCTCCTTCATGCGGTGGGCCTGAGGTGACTCCTCTGTGAGATTCCATCCAGCAGAGGGCCCACTGCTCTGACAATGAGAAGGCAACACAATCCTTCTGTAGGAGGCTTTGGTTCTCCAGGCCCACTGAGGGCAGTTTGCTTTCACTTCTACCCAGGTCCTTGGTGTCCTGCTCATGACAAATCAGAAGTAGCATTTTAGGAAGAAGAAGCAAAGCGGAAGTTCAGGCTAAGAGAGGAACTGTGGTTGAGTAAAGACTTTCATGACCCAACAGAGCACCCCGGGGACATTCCATTTGGGGAAATACGTGCCTGGAACTTTGCAGGTTTTCATTCAGCTCTTTAACATATCACTTGGAAAATAAAAATAAAACCATTATAAATGTTTAAGCTTCAGGTGCCAGCAGAATTGTTCTTTGTGCACTGGTCAGTTTGTTAATGATGCTGAAAAAGTGAGGTGATCCTGTTTTTAGAGAAATTTCAAATTCCTATTTTCCTAAAGAATTTAGCAATCCCTGGGCAGCTTTTCCTAGATCCCTTCTCTCTGTCTCCTTTATTCTGTCATTCATTGGTTATCTAATCACCCTTTGGTTAAAGGGTTTGGTGTCCTTTAACCCTGTGGCCCAATTCTCAGCTCCCACCTTAGTGTCATCCTCTCTTTTGCCCTCACTCCAACCCCCTGGGTCTTCTGAACAGTTGGGAAAGGGAAGGTTCAGGCCACCGGAGAACCCTCTTGATGATGAGTTGAGCCGGCCTCTATCCTGCAGGAAGGCTTTCAGCCTTTCAAGAACTCTGGGTCAGAAAAAAAAAAGAGAGAGAACTCTGGGTCAGGTTGAGTGCTGGGTGGGTGTTTGTGAATGCCCTCTGGTGGTTTTTTATTAATTTTTTAGATTTTTTTAGAGAAACATTGATGTGAGAGTACAACATCAATCAGCTGCCTCCTGCATGCCCTTATTTGGGATCAAGTCTGTAACTCGGGCATGTGCCCGGCCCAGGAAATGAAACCTTTCAGTGCACAGGACGACACCCAACTGAGCCATATCAGCCAGGGCCTGTGGGTGGTTCTTAGTATGTGGGTAGGTTGGGGCCTTTCTCTTGGGGGAGTGGGCAGATTTCCTGGGCCTGAAGCTTTGGCTGGGCCTCCAGTTGTGGGGTTTGTGGTAGAAAGGAGCTGGGGGTTGGGGTGGAGGTCCCAGGTGCATTCCAAACCAGGGACAGTGGACATCATGGCCATTGTGCAGCTTCCAGCTTTTCTGGAGATCCAGTACTTTTGATCTAAAAGGCAACTGACATATATCAGGGGTCCATTCTGTGCCAGGGAGTTCCTAGGCATGATGTCATTTGAAATAATTCCTTTCTACTTTATCCCTATCCTATATAATAAAAGGCTAATATGCAAATATTCCCCTTGGGAGTTCGACCAGGAGACCAGGAGTTCAATTGCTCCAGGGGGCGATACAGAACATGGCAGGCTACCAGTGGAGCAGTGGGTGCTGAGGGAGTGAGGGAAGGAGGAGGCAGGGAACCAGATCAGCCCTGATCACTGGCCAGGCCTAGAGACCCTACCCATGCACGAATTTCGTGCACCAGGCCTCTAGTTTTATAGATAAGCAAACAGGCTCAGCGAGGTTCAGAGCATTCTGCAGATCACTTCTGGCCCAGGATTTAAATCCAGTCCATCTGCAGTGAACCCCATTTGTCTCTAGTGTTGGGGAAAGTGGCTGCACCAGCCTCTGCTCCAGGATAGGTTGGGGGTGGTGAGAGGGCCAGGGGGAGCAGGAACCAGCTTCAGAGGACAGCCACGTAAGGCATGTAACTACTGTCACTGTCTTCTGCGCCCAGACAGTTTCCCAGGCTTGAATGAGTCTGTTGTCTTCACAGATCCCAGAAATCATCCACTTCTGCTGTGATTTCCTCGTGTCCTGGGTGGATGAGGAGAACATCCTTGATGTCTACCGGCTGGCAGAGCTATTTGACTTGAGCCGTCTGACCAAGCAGCTGGACACCTACATCCTCAAAAACTTTGTGGCCTTCTCAAGGACTGACAAGTACCGCCAGCTTCCTCTGGAGAAGGTCTACTCCCTCCTCAGCAGCAACCGCCTGGAGGTCTCCTGCGAGACCGAGGTGTATGAGGGTGCCCTGCTCTACCATTACACCCTGGAGCAGGTGCAAGCAGACCAGATCTCATTGCAAGAACCCCCCAAGCTCCTTGAGACAGTGCGATTTCCCCTAATGGAACCCGAGGTCCTCCAGCGGCTGCATGACAAGCTGGACCCCAGCCCACTAAGGGACACAGTGGCCAATGCTCTCATGTATCACCAAAACGAGAGCCTGCAGCCCAGCCTACAGAGCCCACAGACAGAGCTGCGGTCAGACTTCCAGTGTGTTGTGGGTTTTGGGGGCATTCACTCCACACCATCCACGGTCCTCAGTGACCAGGCCAAGTACCTGAACCCCCTGCTGGGAGAGTGGAAGCACTTCACCGCCTCCCTGGCCCCCCGGATGTCCAACCAGGGCATCGCAGTGCTCAACAACTTTGTGTATCTGATTGGAGGGGACAACAATGTGCAGGGATTCCGCGCTGAGTCCCGATGCTGGAGGTAAGAAGGGACCCTGGGCCATATTACTGTGGGTGATGCTGTAGTGTAGGAATCACTAGCTCAGAGGGCTGGTTAGGGAGAGGTTCTGCATGGGCACATCGCCACTGACCAGGCTGATCAGCCTTTTATATTGACCTTGTGCTTGTTAGGATACCCCTATTTTGCGGAACAAATTTCAGGTTAATTTGGAGAATGTAGATGGCGGTGACATAGGAAAAGGGGACCTGGATTGCTTTCTTTCGCTCTTGTCCCCTTCTCAGGAGCATACTCACCCTGGATCACACCCTGCTGTCTTGTCGGTGAGGGGCTAAGTTGTGACTCTGCACTTGGCTGAGTGCAGGGGAGGGAAGCCTGTGGCAGGAAGGGCGGTTAGGCCTCAGAAGGAGGGGATTTAGGAGCTGGGAGCATGGACAGGCAGTTGCTCCTTCCATTTTGCCCTCTCTCGAATTTTGACACAACTCGTCCCAGCTTCCCTTTGCCTATCTGCTTTGCTCTTCTGACCACAAGCTAATAGTGGAGCATGACTTCCTGTTGCTACTGCTCCCCTGAGTGTGCAGTCCTCAGCTCAGGGATGCAGGAAAGGCAACAGGCGTCGCTGAGCCTCTTGCCAAATCCCTGCCCCTACACCTACCCTCTGTCCTGTCATCAGCAGAGTGGTCTCCGGAAGAGGCAGTTTTCTGAGGGGGGTTTTGTGGACTGCCATGATCTGTAGGAGGCTTTAGCTCTGTCAGTCTATGAGGCTGCGATTCCACAAATTTATTTAAATCCCCAATGCCTCAGCTGCCATTAGATTTTCAGGTCCCATCCACTATACTTTGGTTTGATTTCTTGGGATTTGATGCCTGTGGGAAGTTTCTACCTGCACAAACTGAAAGATGGTGCTGCAGAGGGAGAGCAAGAGTTCCAACTGCTTCTTGCATCTGTGAGCTGGGTGCAGACCAAGTTCGTGTCCATGATTTTACCTTCTGGGTTGAGGGAGGTGTGGGGTCTGGCCTGGCTCTGCCTCTCAGAAGCATGGTGACCAGGACTGAGGTGGAGGTGACCATTCCTCAGCCACTGCTGATCTCCTGGGCTTGGAAGTGATTACCTTTTTAGACTGATGAGACCCAAAGCCAGGAAGCAATACTTTCATGCATACCAAATGCCGTCCCCAGTGGGTGTGGCAGCATCAGGTTCTAGCCAAGCCTCGAAGTTTGTTTTTTAGGGTGCTCAGCTTCCCATTTGGAGAGCCAAGGTCAGATCTCCCTGCTGAGCAACCCACAGACCTGTAAATCATGGTCTCCAGCCCTCAGCTCATGGTAGGGTGGTTGTGTGCCTGCAGGGGGGCTACTAGCCCATAGTCTGTCCTGTTACATGCAGTTTCACACAAGATTGGTCTAAATTCCCCTTTCTTGAACATGTGCTATGAGACCCAAGCTGGACTCTTGGAAAATGCTAATATCAGCCCTGTGATTGATAACTACAGCCTCAAACTTCACTCAGGAATGGATTGCTGTGACAGGTGGGGTTGTGAGACCTGCCTAGTGGGAGTAGGCAGCACAGGGGATGGGGTTCAGAGCATCTGGCAAGGTGTCGGGGAGGGTCCTGGGGTCTGTCATCACTACAGAGCGAATGTTTCCCTAATCTCCCAGTGGATTTTTTAAAATATATTTTTATTGATTTCAGAGAGGAAGGGAGAAGGAGAAAAAGATAGAAACATCAATAATGAGAGAGAATCATTGATTGGCTGCCTCCTGCATGCCCCCTACTGGGGATTGAGCCGGCAACTCGGGCTTGTGCGCTTGACCCGAACCTGGGACCCTTCAGTTCTCAGGCAAACGCTTTATCCACTGAGCCAAACTGGCTAGGGCTCTCCCAGTGGATTCTTAAAGCTGCTAGATGGAAGATGGATCTTAATTTGATCTAAGAGTTTGGTTCTCTCCCCTTCCCCCTTCCATTATTTCACCAGCCTTTGAACCTATAGGCTCTCAGAATATAAGAAAACAAGATTTTGCAGTAAATTAGGGTTTGCACTTTAAGGAGCTAGCGACTTCCCAGGTTATATCTTAAAGCATTGGTGCAGAAACTATATAAAAAGTTACCTCTTTTGGAGCAAATTGTATTTGCCTCCAAGATACCACTGTTTCTTTCTTTGATTGCATCTTTAGTATTGACCTTCTGTGTTTGCACCTTTCCCATAGCTCTGGGCTTCTGAAAACTGACAGCATGCCTTACCTGGTAATAATAAAGCTTATTTTTTATTAGAAAAAAAATATCACTTGGGGATTTATTCTAACAAAGTGGAATATTAATCCAATAAAGAGGAAAATGTGGAATTTAGGACACAGTGGGGAGATAAGAAATCAGTGAAACTGTGCTTCTTGTTAAATTTAGTAGACTTTTTCTTTGGTGCCTTTAAATTATTGATGTGGTGTGTGTGTGTGTGTGTGTGTGTGTGTGTCCTTAAATCTGAAACCACAAATCCAAGTGAACTCTGCCTAGGAAACTGTGAGGGCAGGAGACCAGAAGGAAGCAGAAGCATCTAGAAGGTATTGTGTCACTCTAGTGGGAGGTGCTGACTTATGCTTGGCTCAGAATAGGGAAGAAGAGGATGTGAGGGCGATCTGGCTGTGACATCTGTCACCTCCTTGATCTCTAGGATTGTCTTGGCTGATCTGGCTGGTGTCCCCTTCCTCCCTCACTGCTCCATGTGCATCCCTCCAGAAGCTGTGCGCTCAGTTGAAGAGGAAAAGTAAATAAATAAATAAATAAATTGTTTGAAATAGGGAAAAAGAGACATGTACATGAATGAGTGTCGTGCACAGGAAAGGCAGTAGAAGGCACCATCCTAGCTAGTTGATGGCCTCTGAATGGTGCACTCTGGACTGAACTGGCTACCTGTTCCCAGCCTGACCTTCACCTGGCTGTGCCTCTGGTCATTCATGTCTCAAATGTCACCTTCTCAGGAGGCTGTGAGAGCTTTGCTCTCCCCCGACCTTGCTGCCAGGTGGATCACTTTCCTTACATCATCATTATTATTATTATTATTATTATATTTGTGGTACCCGCATTATACTGAGCACTATTCACTCTGTTCTCTTCAGCTTGTTTCCCACTCTGATGGGAAGCAGGGCCCTTGTCTTGAGTTTCCCTCTGGATCCCCAGCACTGAGCACTGGCTGATCCATGTTGGGTGGCCAGTGCATATTTGTAGAGAGAAGGAATGATTTCACTGCTAGTAATCTTCCTCCTTCGTTAATTTATTCAGCAGACAGTGCATGATGTACCTTGATCAGGTGCTACGCTGAGGTCTAGGAATACAGATGTGAACCTTGGTCCTTTACAAACTTCCCTCAGGTTAACAAGGACCCTTTTTATGTATGCTGTCCTTTATGATCCTTCATGATAGCTTTTCTAGGCAGATCGCATCACCTTATCGGACAGGTGCGGAGACTGAGTGAATGTCTAGAGTAAAACTGATGCCTAGATGCACCCAAGTAAGCGGGCAGAAGTGTGTGACCCAGATGCATGTTCTGTCTCCTGTAGCCCTTACTCCCGAGACAGCTTGTTTCCTGGAATTCCTGGGTGGCAGGGTAGGAAGAATCAGCTGCAGAACGTGCCTAACTTGTGCTTTGGGGCAAAGGATGCATCTGATTTCCTCACCAAACCGCGTATGACACAGGCCAAAGAAAACTTTATTCACTCTCTTCAGAACCTGAAGTTTGACTTATTCTCTTTGGAGTTCATCTTCCTGTGTAGAAATAAAACCACTTATCTGAAAGATGCTATATCTATGCATTGGCCGTTGAGCAAGGAGGCTCCAGATGCAGGAGCTCAAGGGCAGGCACCTGGGTGGATGGGCGCTCAGGGAAAAGGGCCAGATGGCAGTCAGTGAAAGAGTGGGCTTTGGGCCTCAGGCGCACAGGGCCCTGGGCCCTTTCGGCTTTGTGATCATCTGTGTTCACCCAAACAACACACCACATAGGCCCTGCAGAACACCAGGCCTGGGGCACGGAAAGAAGGGATAGAGGCAATAGGAGGCCCCCTGGAAGTGGGGCAAGCCTGGGTCAGGCTGTGGGGGCTGGAACGTTGGGTATGGACTTGGGCTTTGAAGGGCCTGAGCTACAGTGTTAGGATTTTGGAGTGTGACCAGGAGCTTTGCTGGTGAGGATAGGATCAATGGATAGAGGAAGCATGGGGTTCCATTTAGGACAAGTGAATAGCCAGCTGGAGATGGGTGGGAGGCAGTCACAGTGTAGGCAGTCCAAAGTGCAGGAGAAAGAAAGGATTATAGTTAGTTGGTCTGGAGTGTCTGAGATCACCTAGGTTGAGAGTTCAAAGCCCTTTGAAGGCAGAAGAGGGATGGGGTGGGCTTTGCCCAGGGGTGCAGGATGAAGCTGCTTGGGGACTAGACTTTTTGATAAAGGTTGATGAGAAGGAAGGAGCATGAAGGCTGTGACTTGGGGACAACTGCCTCTCCAGTGAAAAGGGTGTGAAAGTGGCCTCCATGTCAGAACAACTTATGGTAACTGTTACCTGCTCACATGGTGGTGGGGCTCAGTAGTAACTCAGTAGAGGTCAGCTTTCCTCAGAGTTGGCCCAGCAGTGCTCCTGCAGGCCAGGCTGACTCCTCCAGCTTCATGGGAGGACCTGGAATCCCAGAGGACTCCACCCTCTTGATACTCACAGTCCAGTGTGGGAGATAGCACCTTGACTGTCACAGAGAGGGAGACCTTGAGAAGTGGAGAGGGCACTCCAGTTGGGGAGGTTGGGAAAGCATGAGGTGCATGAAGAGATGAAGAGGTGGTTGTGATGAGCATGTGTGGGCACTGTGCACAGGGCAGGCTCGAGCAGACCACCCACGAGGGAGTGTTGGTGTTAGCTAGAAGCTAGGAGGCTGTTGTGTCCATCCACAATTCATGGTCATCCTGAATGAATGGGGGCAGGGCTATGGGGGCCATGGGGTGAGATCGAGGTGGCTGTAAGAACAGCCCTTGGTCAGCCTGGGGTGGATAGGAGAGTGGGCTAAGAACCATACCAGAGGTTATACCTGGAAGGGACCAGCTTCATGGGCAGAAACCCAGGCGGCTTCTGCCACACCTCCCAGGTGTGCATCAGCCTGCTGCCATGGCTATGAGTGGGTGTGTGCTAGTGTGTGGAAGCAGATGATGGGAGGGTTTAGGGGACGTGGGCAGAACAGGAGGTGCTGTCTCACCTGTCAGTGATGTGCTGTCCTCATGTCCCCTCAAAAGGTATGACCCGCGGCACAACCGCTGGTTCCAGATCCAGTCCCTGCAGCAGGAGCACGCCGACCTGTGTGTGTGTGTCGTGGGCGGGTTCATCTACGCAGTGGCGGGCCGGGACTACCACACTGACCTGAGTGCTGTGGAACGCTATGACCCTGCCACCAACACCTGGGCCTATGTGGCCCCGCTCAAGAGGGAGGTAAAGAAGCCCTTCCAAGAGGGGTTTTTCCCACCCGCTCCTTTCTGGGGTGTGTAGAAGGAGCCAAAGACCTGGCCAGGGAGTCAGGGCCAGTGAGCTGAGTCCACATCCCTCCAAGCACCCTGCACTGAGAGCAGGAGGGGGACCGCTGAGGTTCTGCCAACTACCTGGGGAGACCCTCAGCAAGCACCCAGACTGCATTCCCCAGAATTTCACCCCTTCTTGTCTTGCCACCTTGGCCCTGGGAAGCTACTTTAATCCTGAAGTTCAAATGCAGACAGAAACCTTCCCCTCATCTGTCCTTTAGCACAGCTGAGATGAGCTAGGATGTGTCCAGAGATGTTAGACAAGAGAGATGAAGGCTCAGAAGCCTCACACTTCTCTAAAGGTCCCCTGGAGGGTGGGGCCTTTAAAACGCCAAAAACACGTGAGAATTTTAATTTTGAAGTTGTGGGGTTTTTTTTAGTTGTTGTTTTTTTAGATTATGTGCCTCCTACACAGAACCTTGGTTTGTTCCACTTTGGAGATGTTTGCTTTAGGGAGGTCCCTCTTTTGTCCTATGGTTTTGGGGTACTTGGATCCTGGCCCCAAAACCAGACATGAGATCCCAGGGCTAGGAAGAGGCTAACTGATCCCCCAAGTCCCAGGTATGCACCCTGTTGGTATCGGCATTGTAATTTTCAGAGCATCTGTTATACACCTTTGGGGATCCCTGAGCACCTCAGAAGCAGGGGATGGCATGGGGGATGAGTGGGGTTCTGCCTTGGGCTCTGCTGAACTAGCTCTGGGACCTTGGCAGAAAGGAGCTCCTGCCTTCCTGAATCTCTTTCCACACATCCCCTCTTTCTCTCTCACCCTTCCGCAGTCCCCAACGGCCTGAGACTTTGACTCTTGGGAGCTAGGGGACTCCCTGGTGAGTGCAGCTCCTCTCCAAGGTCAGGGTCTCCTACCATGATTCCTTTCAGGCAGGAAAAGCTGGCATGCTCCTCGCTCCTCAGCTTCTTTGGGGAAGGGAGCCCCTCTAGAAGGATACTCTCTACCCCTTTCTGGAGAAAGGAGCAGATTTTGCATGGAAATAGCAGGACTCCCTGAGACCTGGTGGATGAGGATGAACTGAATTCCTCCCTGCAAGGGTGCTAGATGGGAGTGAGCGATGTGTGGGGGAGGAGCCTGAGGCATCTTTGTCTGGGAAGCTGCGGTTCTCCAGTCTGGCCACAGAGGGGCACCCTTAGCCTTTAGTCCAGCGGTCGCCTACCTTTTGGACCTCACCGACCACCAGTTTAGTTAACTTCTTCCTGACTGCCAGTGTTCCTTACTTCATACATTCATTTATTCAGCAACTATTTATTAAGCACCTACCCTTTTTCTGTTTTTTGTTTTTTTATTTTTCACCTATCCTTTTTCTAATACCTGGATGCAATGAGGACAAGAAATGACAAAGGTTCCCCCATGGTGTTTACAGCCTAACCACTAAACAAATCTGTAAAATAATTCCCAATTGTGGTAAGTGCGATGAGGAAATTAAGAGGAGGTTGTGCTAAACAGGGCTTGGGGTGGGGAGTTGAGGGCGGGGGCTTTGGCAGGACAAATCTAGATAGACTATTTAGGGAGGGTCCATTTGACGACATGTCAGACTGAGGGAGGAAGGACCTTGTAGGCCAGGAGGGGACTTCATAGTTTATTCTGAGAAAGGGAAAGTGCTTGTGAAGAGAAGAGGAGTTAGAGGAGCAGGAGCAAGGACAGAAGTTCTGTGCTAGGGTGGAGGCTATTGGAGAAGGAAGAAGATAGATGGGTTTGAGGTATAGTTTGGAGGTAAACTGACCAGGCTATTGGAAACTAATAAGCAACACACTTCTAAGTAATCCATAGTTCAAGGGGGGATAATAAAAATACCTTGAACTGAATGAAATGAAAAGACAATGTGTCAAGATTTATTGTACCTAGCTAAAGTTGTTCCACCAGGAAATTTTGTAGCACTAAGAGCATACATTAGATTATCAAATCAGTAATCTAAACTCCTACGTCAACGACCTGAAAAAAGAAGAGCAAAGTATATCCAAATCAAACAGAAGAAAGGAGGTAATAAAAAGAGCAAAAACCAATGAAATTAAAAGCAGATAAACAGTAGAGAAAATCAACCAAAGAACTGTGTTTCCACCCCCCCCATAAGATCAATAAAATTGACAAACTTCTAAAAAAGACTGACAAAAAAAAAAGGAGAGAGAGAGAGAAGACAATTAAAAATATCAAGAATGAAATTGGGCATGCCTGCAAATTCTGCAGATGTCAAAAGGGAATAATACAAACAACTCTATACATGTAAATTTGACAACTTAGATGAAATGGACTAATTCCTCAAAAAAACTACAATCTCCACAACTTGCTCAGCATAAAACAGATAAATTGAATAGCTCTATACATACTGTTGAATGTGTACTATAGGCCCAGGTGATTTCACTGGAGAATTCTTATTCTCTCAAACATTTAAAGAAAGGTTGACACCAGTTCTGTGTGATTTCCCCCCCCCTCCCAGAAAGGAGGAGAGAATACTTCCCAATTCATCTTATAAAGTTAATATTATCCTGATACCAAAACTGACAAAAACAGTACCAAAAAGGGGGAAAGATCTCTTATAAATATACATATGAATATCCTTAATAAAATAGTGGCAAATAGAACTCAAAAAACAACAAAACAAACCACCACACCATTGCCAAATGGGGTTGATTATAGGGGTGGAGGCTAGTTTCGTATTTGAAAGTCCGTTAGTGTAATTCACCATATTGAAATCATATGGTCATATCAGACAATGAAGAAAAACACATTTCACAATAGTTATCCTGTTACCAACAGACTTAATGGTAAAAGACTGATTTGAATGCTTTTCCCCTACAGTGGGGAACAGGATAAGATATCTGCTCTCACCGCTCTTAATTCAGTATAGTCCTGGAAGTTCTCGCCAGTGAAATAAGGCAACAAAAGAAAATAAAGGCATGCAAATTGAAGAGTAAGAAATAGCCCTGACTGGTGTGGCTCAGTTGGACATCGTCCTGTGCACCAAAAGGTTGCCAGTTTGATTCCCAGTCAGGGCACATGCCCAGCTTGTGGGCTTAATCCCTGGTAGAGGGTGTGCAGGAGGCAGCCTATCAAGGTTTCGCTGTCACATTGATGTTTCCCTCTCCATCTTTCTAAAAATCAATTAAAAGTCTTTTTAAAATATAATCCTCACCTGAGGATATTTTCCCATTGATTTTTTTTAGAGAGAGTGAATAGGAGGGGGGAGATAGAGAGAGAGAAACACCAACAAGAGAGAGACATTGATTGGTTGCCTCCTTCATGTCCCACAGTGGGGATAGAACCGGCAACCTGGGTATGTGCCCTGACTGGGAATTGAATTGTGACCTCTTGGTTCATAGGTTGGTGCTCAACCACTGAGCCATGCCAGCTGGGCAAATTTTTTTAAAATATATTTTTATTGATTTCAGAGAAGAAGGGAGAGGGATAGATGGAAACATCAATGATAAGAGAGAATCATTGATCGGCTGCCTCCTACACTCCCTACTAGGGAACAAGCCTGCAACCAGAATTGCACAGTGATCACCTGGTTAATAGGTCGATGCTCAACCACTGAGCCATGCTGGCCAGGCTAAAAATCTTTTTAAAAAGCAAAGTAAGCCTGGCTGTTGTGGCTTAGTGAATGGTTAAGCATCAACGGGTGAACCAAGAGGTCCCAGCCAGGGCACATGCCTGGGTGGTTGGCTCGATCCCCAGTAGGGGGCATCCAGGAGACAGCCAATCTGTTTCTCACATTGATGTTTCTTCTACTCCCTCTCTCTAAAAATCAATGAAAACGTTTTTTTAAAATGACAAGTTGCAGAATGGGAGAAATATTTGCAAATCACATATCTGACAAAGGACTACTTAACATATATAAAGAACTCTCAAAACTAACCAGTAAAACACACACACAAATAGACCCATTAAAAAAAAGGCAAAAGACTTTTATCGAGGAGGAATACAGATGGCAAACAAGCACGTCATTAATTGTTAGGGAAATGTCTATTAAAGCCACAGTGAGAAGACCACCTCTCAAAATGGCAAGAATTAAAAATAGTGACAACAAATGACAATGTGGAGAATGCAGATTAGTGGTGCCAGGGGTTACTAAAGGGGTTCAGGGCAGGAAGGCAATAGGTGTGACTATGAACAGGCAACAGGAGGGATCCTAGTGAAGATGGAAATGTCCTGTGTTTTTAACTGTGCCAACACCAGCATCCTGGTTGTGTTGTACTTATACCAGCTCTTACCACTGGGGACTCTGAGTGAAGGATACATGGGGCCTTTATTATTTCTTAGACCTACATGCAAATCTACACTTACATCAAAATGGAGTTAACTTTAAAAAAAAACCCAAAATCTCCCTAGTTCTCCACAATTGATGGGCGAAGACATGCCCACTGCTCTGTCCCTTGGTCTGCACTCTGTCTATGCCACCCTGCATAGTGACTCTCCCTGGACCAAACCCTGCAACCTTCACACCTCATGGGGCTCCTCTCCCCCAAAACACACAGTGCCCTACCTTGGGACCCACTGGTACAGCAGGTTGGCCTTACATGTGGTAGCTATGAGATAGGAGGTCCTTGGGCAGGAGTGACTAGCGTGAGGAGTGCCTGTGGTGGGGGCTGGCTGGGCACAATGGAAAGCACATGAAAGGTGGAGAGCCAAAATTAAAGGCAGGGTGGTGTATTCTCTTCCCACACACAATCCCATAACTTAAAATTAACATTAAAAAAATTTTTTTCATTGATACTTAGAGGGGAAGGGAGAAAGATAGAAACATCAACGAGAGAAACATCCATTAGCTGCCTCCTGCACGCCCCTCACGGGGGAATGAGCCTGCAACCCAGGCATGTACCCTGACCAGGAATCGAACCAGCAACCTCCTGGTGCTTGGGTCAGTGCTCAACCACTGAACCACACTGGCTAGGCTAAAAATTACTCTTGGTGTTCTTCTTATTCTTTTTAATACTCACCTGAGGGTATGCTTATTGATTTTAGGGGGGAAGGGAGAGAGAAACATCAATATGAGAGAGAACATAGATTGGTTGCCTTTTGTACAAGCCCCACCAGGGATCAAACCCACAACCAAGGTATGTGCCCTGACGGGGAATCAGACCCACAACCTTTCAATATACAGGACAATGTTCCAACCAACTCAGCCACACAGCCAGGGCGTGGTGTTTGATTTTTTGACTTTTGCATCTCACTTTTCCCCTCACTGTACCAGCCATCATTTGCAAGTAAATATTTTGAAAGCGGGGTCAGCAGGTCTGGAGGATTGGCTGGCCATTGGGAATGGGGAGAGGTGGAGGTAGGCAATGAAGGGTGGGTCAGGGGTTCCCAGAACTGACAGATTCCATTCTTCCCCTGTGGAAGCTCAGGCTCTGTAGAATCATTCCCCATTAGGTAAAGGACATGTGTGGGTGTCTAGATAGTACGTCCAGCAAAAATCCAGGGAGCTTTCTTATCTGAATGTGAAGAGGAAATCAGTGAAGCCAGGAAGTGTCAGGCAGTTGAGGGGTAGGAGCAGCCTTGGCAAAGGCCACTGGCTGCCCTCCCTCACTGCTCTCTTGCCCCCTCCCCATCTGCCCCTGTTCTCTTGGTGGCCCATGTAGGTGTATGCCCATGCTGGCGCCACACTGGAGGGGAAGATGTACATTACCTGCGGCCGCAGAGGGGAGGACTACCTAAGGGAGACACACTGCTATGACCCAGACAGCAACACCTGGCAAGCTCTGGCGGATGGGCCTGTGCGGCGGGCCTGGCACGGCATGGCCACCCTCCTGGACAAGCTGTATGTGATCGGGGGCAGCAACAATGATACTGGCAACAGGAGGGATGTGCACCAGGTAAGTGCGGCTGGGCTGCCTTACACACGTTATTCTGCCCCTTCCAATTGTTATGGATGAAAAATTATTTGTAACATGTGCCTCCTTTTTATTTTTTAATATTTTTATTGATTTCAGAGAGGAAGAGAGAGAAAGAAACATCAGTGATGAGAATTATTGATCGGCTGCCTCCTGCAAGCCCCCTACTGGGGATTGAGCCCACAACCCGGGCATGTGCTCTGACCAGAATCGAACCCAAGACCCTTCAGTCCACAGACTGACGTTCTACCCACTGAGACAAACCAGCTAGGGCTGTTTTTTTTGGTGTGTTGTTGTTTTTTTAAGCAGTTACAGGTTCCAGCAAAAAAATTTTTTAATGATTTTATTTTTCAGTTTGGTTTGTAGCAAATTTGAACAGAAACTAGATAGAGCACAGAGGATTTTTGAAAGTATGAAAATACTTTTGTAAGATATTATAATGATGGGTACATGTCATTAGACATTTGTCCAGACCCATAGAATGTACACCACCAAGTGTGAGCCCTGCCCTAACCGGTTTGACTCAATAGATAGAGCGTTGGCCTGCAGACTCAAGGGTCCCAAGTTCGATTCCGGTCAAGGGCATGTACATGGTTGCAGGCACATACCCAGTAGCGAGTGTGCAGGAGGCAGCTGATCGATGTTTCTCTCTCATCGATGTTTCTAACTCTATCCTTCTCCCTTCCTCTCTGTAAGAAATCAATAAAATATATTTAAAAAAAGAGTGAGCCCTAACTATGGATTTTGGGTGATTATATGTCAGTATAGATTCATCAATTGTAACAAATGTGTCACATGTAGGGGTTGTTAATACTGAGGGAAGCTGTGCATATGTGGGAGCAGGGCATATACGGGAAATCTCTTTACCTTCTTAATTTTGTTATAAACCTAAAACTACTCTAAAAAAATTTTTTTAATTAACAGAAAGTACAGAGATTTTCCATATTAGCCCCATTCCCACACACACACACACTGTCGACATCCCCTACAAGAATGAGACATTTGTTACAGTTGATGAACCCACACGGTGACCATCATTATCATCCAGAATCCAGTTTACATCAGGGTTCACTCTTGGTGGTGTACATTCTGTGTGTTTGGACAAATGTCTAATGACATGTGCCTACCATTATAATCATCTGGAATAGTTTCATTTATTTTTTTTATTATTAAAAACCTTAATTGTAAAGTTAATATAACCACATTGCAGAACCTTCAAATAATGGAGAAGGGTGAAGAAAAACACGCACAATCCAGCCCCATGCCACTATTTTTTTGTCCTTCTACCTATTTTTGTCCTTCCACCCAATTATAGTTAAAGAACCTCCCATTCTACTTCTGGCTGAAGTTCATCGAGGATGTCTTCCAGTTACTATTTGATCTCCATAGCCATACGTACCCCTCCTTCGCTGGCTGTGCAGAATTCTTTCAGACTAGTGTATCATTTGGGTTGGTCTAAGTTTTAACTGTTCCAATAACATAATCAGTAATATTTGCTTTATAGAGCTTTTCCGGTATATTGGATTATTTCCTTAGGCTAGAGCAATGGTTCTCAAAGTATGGTTCCCAGACCAGTAGCATTCACATTATATTAGAATGCACTAGAAATGCAGGTTCTCCGGCCCCACCCAAGATGAGCTGAGGAAGCTCTGGAGGTGGGCTCAGCAATCTCTTTTTAAACAACCTCCTTCCCCCAGTGGTGAGACCAACTGAACTCTAGTGTATTTGTTTCCTATTGCTGCCATGAAAATCACTACAAATTTCACAACTTAAAGCAACATACCTATTTTCCATATCCTTGTTTGCTCAGGGTTTTGGCAGATTCAGTTCTTTGTGGTTGTAGGACTGAAGTCCCTGTTTCCTTTCGGGCTGTCAGCTAAAAGCCCTTTACGGCTTCTGGAGACCTCTGCATTCCCTGGCACGGGGCCATTTCATCTTCAAAGCCAACAACGGCAGGTTGTCCTTCTTCTCATCTCTCCTATCACATCTTCCCTTCCACTTTCAAGGGCTTGTGAAACCAAGTGGTTCCACCAGGATAACCTCCCTTCTCCATGTTCACACCCTTAATCACATCTGCAAAGTCCCTTCTGCTGTGTTAAGTAACACAAGTTCTAGGAATTAGGACATGGCCTTTGGAGGGCCAGTATTCTGCATATTCTAGCTGGAGAACCAAAGCTGATTACTAAGTTAAAAAGGTAAGATTTGTATGGCTCTTAATACATATTGCCAAATTACTTTTTTTCTGGCTTGTCTGACAAGTGCATAGCAGTATAGCTTCACTACATCTTCACCAGCATTTGGTTTTATGGGTTTTGGTTATGGTTGCTGGTTAACAGTTGACAATTTTTCCTGACCATTTATTTTACATTTTTAAAAAATATGTTTTTATTGATTTCAGAGAGGAAGGAAGAGGGAGAAAGAGAAGCATCAATGATGAGAGAGAATCATTGGTCGGCTGCCTCCTGCACACCCCACACTGGGGGTCGAGCTCACAACCCGGGGCATATGCCTTGACTGGGAATCAAACCCTGACCTCCTGGTTCATGGGTCAGTGCTCAAACACTGAGCCACGCCAATCAGGCTATTTTGCATTTTTTGAGTTACTAGTAGGTTGAACATTTTCCCGTGTATTTGTTTACTGTTTGGGGTAATTTTGAGAAAAGAGAACATTGAGGGTCATTAGCAGTAGCTATTTCCATATTTTATTTGCACCTCCACCTGGTGTAGGGTGCTGTCGGTGGGGTAGGGTTGGGGGCGGGGGGTAATGATATAACGTAGGACCTCAGTCATCTTCAGTCTTATGGAGGGGAGAGAACCAGTACCACCAGACCATGGAAAGTAACAGCGTGCCAACTGGAAGACACCCACACACTGGAGGCCACAAGCTGACTGAGGGCCCTGGAGATGGGACAGAGTGTTAGTCTGGCCCTTGGACAGGATGTTTTAAACACTGGCCCTAAGCCCTTCCTCCATGGGTCAGGGTTTGCTCACAGCCCTACATGTCCCTCAGCCTTGGTTTAAGTCCGGGTCTGGCCGAGAGTGCTGTTCTGCCCAGCTGGCCTCGGCCAGGCTGGCAGCCCTGTCCCAGCAGGTGCCCCAGCTTTACCCGGGCCTTGGCTTTGCAGGTGGCCTGCTACAGCTGCACATCCGGGCAGTGGTCATCTGTCTGCCCGCTCCCAGCGGGGCATGGTGAGCCTGGCATTGCTGTGCTGGACAACAGGATCTATGTGCTGGGTGGCCGCTCACACAACCGTGGCAGCCGCATGGGCTACGTGCACATCTATGACGTGGAGAAGGACTGCTGGGAGGAGGGGCCCCAGCTGGACAACTCCATCTCGGGCCTGGCGGCCTGTGTGCTCACCCTGCCCCGTTCCCTGCTCCTGGAGCCGTCCTATGGGACCCCTGACCCGCAGGCCGACCCGGACTTCGCCTCGGAGGTGATGAGTGTGTCTGACTGGGAGGAGTTTGACAACTCCAGCGAAGATTAGGGCTCTGGGGCTGGTGTCAACAGGAAGGGAAGGGTGGCAGGAGCTCCGAGGGCAGCCCAGGCCAGAGCACTTTACCCAGGGCATTGAGAACCTTCCTTCTGCACCCCAGCCGGCTGGCTCTTGCCACCCTCCCTTCACATCAGCCTATCTGCCAGCTTGCAGCAGGTCTTTGTGGGGCTCTGTAGATCGGCTGTGGATCACCGTGCAGGGGGAAGTGTTCAGGAAGGCTCTGGTCCCTGAAGGGGTTTACCAGGCCTGCTGCTCCTCAGCTCCCAGGGTGTGCTGTCACCAGCTGTCTTGGCCTCCCTGGTTCTGGTCCCTGCTGGGCTGAGAAGGTGTCCTCCCAAGGGATCTGGGCACTGGCGCCTGGGTGAGGCGGCTGAGGCGGCTGAGGTATATTGAACCCCCTTCTGTGGGCAAGGGTAGGGTGGGCCCCTCACCTACCCAGCAACCAAGAGGGCAATTGAGAGCTCCCAAGGACTGGAGAAGGAGCAGAGTTGCATAAGCTTGCTTGAGACTGGTTCTAGTGATAAGAGGATCCCCTACAGCTGGGCTTTTCTGACCCCATGTTGTTGATAAATGAAATAAATCATCTTACAAAAGGTATGAATTGTTCTTGTGGCTGTGGCCTCAATTTCTTTCACAACCTGTCCGAGGCTGCAGCACTGGGAAGCACCAGTTCCCTTCTGGGGTGAACGTTACTGGTGGGAATACCGCTCTGGTGTGGGATTTGGCAGTGGGAGGCCAAAATCCTGTCTCAAAGGCAAGAGCATAGTACACTCACCAGCTAGAAGGGTGCCACCTAGAGACCGCCCTAGTCGGTGACAGGTGGTCCCCTGTCTGCTGGAGTGCCTTCTCTGAGGAGTAGCTCTTTGAACAGTTGGCAATACTTGGGCCCCAAATAAAGCTCATCCTGAGGTTCAGGAAGGGGGCTGCAGTGCCTGGGGAGGGAAGCCCTGTCAGGATGGGCTCCTTCCCACTTCCTGGATCCCAATGTGTGACGGGAGTGGGAAGCTGCACTTCCTACAGGTTCGCCAAGTGCGTTAACTTCTTAGCACATCGGCTCCTGGTGCAGTGGATGGGCCTCTCTGCACATCAGAGCGTCCACCTGAACGAGCTCCTGCCTGCCCAGGCTCTGCACCAGCAAACCCGCCCCGCCCGCGGGATCTGTGACTCCTAGGGCTCGGTCCTCTCCCAGCCTTAGAGACCACTGAGCCTTCTCTTTTACTTGGTGCCTTGCCCAGAGCCTGCCGCGACTAGCGCTATGTCATGGATGGGAGGGGAGCAGAGAGGCAGTGTGAGCTACGTAATGGGAGGAAGGCATGTGGAGAGGGACAGGGAATCAGCTGCTTTGGGTTCTCCTTTTTGATTCCTTAAGGACTTTGGGGTGTGGGGGTTGCTGCCTGCTCCTGAGGAAACATGCCCCCACTCCCTAACCCCAACGTGACCTCATACACCCCCACTTCAGGGTGGCAAGCTCAGTGTGACCCTGGCAGGTCACTTCCAAGGGGACAGGCTGGCCACATTCTCCAGTGTCTTCTCCCCTGTTCCCGAGGGTGAATATGAGAACACGGGATCAGAGTAAGGACCCAGCACATCCTGTCTGCCACCACCTTACAGGCCAGGCTAGCAGTTTCTGCAGACCCCAGAGGTTTCTGGGAAGGAAAGTCCCTGAAATGCTTTCCCCACCCCTTATCTTCAGTATGTCCCAAGCTTGGTGCTGTCTCCCCACCCAGAGCCACCAAGGCCTGGCCATAACTTTACAAGCGACCTCTGGTCTCAGGGGATGAGAGGGAGGTCTTTGACGCTGTGAGCATGGGCTGGGGTAAAAGATCCTGAAAGCTGGGCAGCAGCCTGGCCCTGCCACTGCAGCCTTGGGGCCCTGCCTGGCATTTGTGGCAACACTTCCCCCACCTCCTGCCCATGGGCCTTAGCAGCCCAGGCTCCCGGGCCCTACATTCATGCCTTCATTTGGCTTGTTGTTCATCCCATTTCTGCCTATAAAATCCTCATCCTTCAAAGCAGACCTCCTTCAGGAAGCCATCCTGGCCAGAACTGGTCAGCTTGGGCTCTAGGCTCCCACAGTTTGCCTGTGTGTTGGTCTGGGGGGTACCAGGGTACCACAACTTCCTCATCCTGATAATCACCTGGCATCAGGCCAGGCACATGGACCATCATTCATTCCACCCGCATTTCTCATTCTCAGATAGCGGTGTGGTGGGTCTGGGACAGATATGGACCCTGCCTTCAACACCAGATCTCGCCGCGATGGCACACATGCAGGGGGCTGTGGGTCTGAATGAGACAAGGCTGGGATGGTCCGTGTTCTGCAGGCAGCGGGGGCAGCCAGATATGAGATTAGGAAAACTACACTGGTTGGTATAGAGATGGGGTGAGTAGAGATCTGAGACGTTCAGGAGTGGAGGCATTGTCCTGTGGTGTTCCCAGGTGGGAATTTGGGGGCACGGAGCCATTGTGAGGGAAGGGGAAGAAGGTGATGGAGTCTGAAGTGCCTGTTCATGAATTCAGTCCAGCTGGGGTGAGTGCTTCCAGCCCTGGGGTCTGTGCCTCTAAAGCTGGGAAGGGACCAGGGCTGCCACAGGCCGCTGGGCGTCACTACCACCACATGGACCTCCGCTGGCCTCTGTTGGTGGCAGCCAATGGGGACCCCCCTGGGAGGGGCCCTGGTACTGGGAGGACACTGCTGAGGTGAGGGTCATGTCCAGGAGGAACTGCCCAGAACTGGTTTGGCCAGTGTACTTGTCTCCAAGAAGTGTTTGCATTTGTGATCGCAGCGGACTTGCCCTTCCAGTCCACCCAACTGTGACCAGCATGACTGAGTGAGGGGCCCTAACCTCAGAAGCCCCCTACCTGCTGCTTTCCATTCCGCCCTCTGACAGCCTGCCCTGGACAGGCCCCTGGCTCAGCCAGCCAGGTGTGTCCTCAGGCTGGGGCCTTTTGGTGGCCCTTGTTCCAAGCCTCCTCCTCCTTCAGTCCTACCTTCCCCCTTGACAGGCCTCCACATAGCTAAGGAAAGACGCCACTCCTCCCTCAGGGGGTCTGCATCAGCCTGCGTCTCAAGAGAAGGCAGCTACCTGCTCCCTGCTCCGGGCCTCCTGCCAACTCTTAAGTCCTCAAAACACATGGTCATCTTTACCGGGACCTGGCTGCTCTCCTTGCTCCATCCCCAGACCTGCCTGCCTACCCTGCTCCCTGGGTCCTGGGCATGGACCTGTCATCCTCCAAAGCAGCAGGCACCCCTCTACTTCCCAGACCCAGTTTCTCTTCCTGGCAGTCCCCCTGGGCCCTGTTCCTCTTACTCTTGTTCCCCTTCCTCCTTACTTGCTGCCCCTGCTCTGCTCTGTGCTGTCACCCCTGCTCTCCGGATGCAGGAGCCCTCTCCAGCGGGGGCTCCGCCCTCTGCACTTTTCCCTCTGATCCAGCAGCCTTCTCAAGCAGGTTCCCTAGACCCTTTCAACCCCTGACAAGGACTGCAGGGTCTCTGTCCCGGGGCTCTCCACCTGCTTCCTCTGCCTTTACCCCCACATTCTGGGGGAGCCCATGGCTGGGCCATTCTATCTCCCTGCCATCTCTCCAATTCATTCCTACAAGAACCCCCTCAGCCCAGGCCTCTGGTCCAGACCGAGTCTATCTACAGGCCTGAAGCATCCTGCTCCGTCCACTGCAGGCTTTGCACTGAGTGTGCAGAAGAGGCTGGCCATCCAACTGGGCACCACAGGGCTTCGGGAAGCGAGGGGGGCAGTGCAGCAGAGGCGGCCTTGACCCGGGTTGTCTGTGGGACACCCTCCCATGGCCAATTCCGAGGCGCTGGGGACAAGGGAGACTTTGGTGCGTCGCGCTCTTGTCCCCCAGCTCCCTTCCTGCCCTGGGCCTGGCCGCACAGTGAGTTCGCAGGGGTGGCTTTTTCACAAGGTCTAGGGAGGGAAGGGAAAGATCGGGGGACCGAAGATTCCTCGGGTGGGCCCCGTGGCCCCGCCCTCTCCCGGCGCT